CTACTACCTCCATCGCCATCGTCGTAGCTACTACCACCACTATCAGAGCCGGTTGTACCAGCGAAAGACCATTACGAGCACCATTGGCATGACCGGCGGTGCAGCACCCGTTGCCACGATCGCCGTAACGCGATCGGTAACCGAGCCGCGAGAAAGCGCGGAACAGAAAGAGGGAGAAAAAGAGGAAAGATCGAAAGAGGAGAGAGAAGAGAGAAAGAAAACGTGGCTCGCGGTGGGCTGCGTACGCGGGTGTACGCGCGTGGAAAGGCAGCTGGCTGCCGGTTGGCGATCGCGCGCGCGCGAGCGCCACCGACTCAACACGGGAAAAGAAGGACGGGGAAGCGGTAATAAGGTGCTCGCGAACCTCTCGGCGAATTCCTAGGAGGAGAGGAGAACCCGGGCGGAGCCGGGTGCTGATCGTTCGGGCGGAGCTTGCCTCGGCTGGGAACCGCCTACCCAGCAGGAATCGCCTTTTCTCTCCCTCTGGAATCGGTCGCCCCAACGTTGTCTCTCACCCCGAGCGAGTCGAGTGGCGCGCGTTTCTCTCCCGCCGCCCCGTGTCTCGCCGCGCGCGCGTCGCGGACGATCGAGCTCGAGCGAGCCGCGAAGCGCCGGGGGTGGGGGCCGAAACGAGAAGCCGGCCGCCGGTGGCGCGGGTCAGTCTGTCGGGCAACCGGTCGCTCTCTCGTTTCTCGCTCTGTCCGCGCTCTCCGCTCGACTCGAGCGTTCTCCACGCTCCGAGACCTCCGATACGCGTCACCGATATCTCTTCGCGCGACACTCGAAACGAAATTTCGAACCTGAACCTCGAATCCGAACCCGATCTGTCTGTCTGTCTGTCTCTCTCTTTCTCTCTCTCTATCTTTCTCTTTCTCTCTCTCTCTCTCTCTCTCTCTCTCTGTCTCTCATTCTCTCTCGAAGCAAGTGTCGTCGTCATCATCGTCTGCCATTTGCAAGCGTATCGGTGCGATATTATTCGCGAAAAGTGTGTCGAAATTGCGCGAAATTGAGTTCACCGATCGCGGCGCCCGTTGTTTGCCCGCCGTTTTTCACGCCGTTTGGGAATCGTCGTCGCATCCTGGTGTCCGTAGCGATGCGCGCGCCTCGTCGCGCACTCGGACGATCGACTTAACCCCGACCCGTGACCGCCGCCGAATCCCGCGAGTCGACGACCCCTCGCGAGGTGCGGTTTCCCTCCCGTCGTCGAGAACGAGATCACGTCGTCGATTGTTTTCATCTGGCGCTCGATCGAAAGGCTCGATCGTTCGGTCGGTGGGGCGCAGGCGACGCAACGCGATCGTCTCACCGCCCGGAAGAATGCGGAAAATTCCGTTGGAGAGGATCGGTGGGCAGGTAACGACTGTTCTCGGAACGAACCGACGACCGATCTCCTCTCGATAATAGTTGACCGACGAGCGAGGTTCGGGAAGCAGAGCGCGAGGTGATGTTGCTGGAGTCGCGAAATCTCGCCGGCAGGAAGAGAAACGGATTGACGCTGTCTTCGTTCGGTGGTGGAGGTGGCGGCTGCGGCGGTGGAGGCGGAGGTGGAGGAGGCGGAGGAGGAGGAGGAGGAGGAGGAGGCGGCTGCGGTGGTGCCGGCAGCGAGGAAGACGACGAAGAATCTCGACATCTGTTTCTTGGAAGAAAAATGCAGACCGAGGGTGCCGCCGCCTCCGCGGTTTCCGCCGGTTTGTCACCCGGCTGCACGCGCGACGATGGCGACGAGAGCTCCAGCCCCTCGCCGAACGGTAGCCTCTTGAATAATCTCAACAACAACTGCAACTCGAACCGCCAATGCGCCACCGATTTTAGCATCGCGGCCATCATGGCCCGAGATTCTAGGCAACAGCAGCAGCAGCAACAGCAACAGCAACAACAGCAACAACAGTCGCAGCAGCAGTCACAGACGTCACCGTCGCAGCAGCAGCAGCAGCAACAGCAGTCGCTTCAGCAGCAAACCCAGTCGCAATTGCAGCAACCGTATCATCATCGGCAGTTGCAGCAACAGGCCGTCGGCGGAGGGAAATTGCATCAACACGGTGAGCATTTTCCTTCCTCCTTTCTTCACCGTAATTCTCGTTCTCGGCGCGAAGTTTTTCTTTTCCGAACCGTTCTGTTTCGTTCGCGTTTCGCGTGACGAACGAAAGCCAGCCAACAGTCCTTTCTCTCACAAAAGCGAGCAAAAACGACGACCGACGAAAGAACCGATCGAGTCGTATCGATCATGTCGTTGCTCGGTCGTTGTACGCTTTCTCGAGGTCTGAATTCGGACATCGGCGCAAAACGGCGAACACAACGCGCATTTGCCCTCCATGTGTTTACTTCACGTTAATCTGAGACGCGAGTTGTTTCTCGAAAGTTACGTCGGAGCGGAGAGGGCGATGGACGAGGCAAGGGGCCCGGGAAAGTGGAAAGATAAGAAAGATAAGAAGAAAAGGGGGAAGAAGAAAAGAAGCGGGGAACGGCGCGACGTGGTGGCGTTGGTTAATGAATTATTTAGCGGCGAAGATTGTGAATGAAACTGCGTGTAGCCGGCGGGGGTTGGGATCCGGGCGCGCGTTAATTCGCCCGGGCGAGAAACGGCCGTTTCGCGCGGCCAGGTGAGGTGTCTCATCGGAATTCTGGAAACGACCGTGTGGCTGCTTTGCTCTCTCAGCCAGACGTCCGAACGAGACTCGACGGTGTTTGGTTTCATCATCGCGTATCTTGGACGCCCGCGGCGAATAATCGCCCACGAAGATTCTACGCGGACGAAATTTACGGTTGGCCACGGTGCAATTCACCCACGGAAACGGACCGTCGTTCCCAAATAAACTTGGGTAAACTGCGCGATGAATCGACCGGGGATTCTCGTGTGCGTGCACGTGTGTTGGACACGCGCGACTACTCTCCACCTTCTCCTCCTCCTGCTCCTGCTCCTCCTCCTTCTCTTCGTCCTCCTCTTTCTCCACCTTCTCCTCCTCCTGCTCCTCCTTTCACGTTTCCCAGCCACCCTAGTTCGCCGCTTCGCTGCCAGACTTTACCTTGGAAATTGTTAAATAAATCGCCAATCCGAAACTCACGAGCCCCTCGGCTCGTTAATCGACGACGAATTATCCTTCTCTGTGGCTCGCGTTTCGGTAGCGTGTCCGTGGACGTCCGTGATTAACCGTTTCCGTGCGAATTTCGCCTGACCGTTTGCAAGCGCTCCGATTTGGAGAACTTGATGGACGATGCTTGTTGCCGGTTATCTAACAACGAACGGTAGCTGCTTGTCGTCAGTGTAAATACGCACGACTTGACTTTAAACGTTAATTATAACAAATGATCAATTACCCGTTCGATCGGTTTGATCGAACGAGCAGCTAAGATTAAGTTTGAAACGGTTTGATCGATTCGCAGAAACTTTTTATACAGATGTACAGTGGAACTCCGGTTGTACAAACTTTATTCATTTATGAAATGAATTAAATTTTAAGTAGTATCCGATTTTCGAGTCCGATTTTTAGGTAGATTGAACTCCTAACGTATGAACGAAAAATCACTGATAAGGGAAGAGAATTAGCGAGTTCTTATTACCAGATGAATTATTTGACCACCGAGATAAGTTCATTAAAGTTTTATCGTAGAACGTTAATCGTAATAATAATTAACCAGTGACTCACCAATTGGTGACTGAGCAAGAATCTCAGACACTTGAATCTACGTTGTGTCTACGTCACTCGTGCAAATTTTTTGGTTCCTCGCGATCTCACACATCTCAAGAATCAATTTCTAAACCTAAACTTAATCTCGACTGATCACGTTGGAACGGTGAAGTGATCAAGATCGGCTTATCGCTTGTAACGTGTACACGTTGGATCTGCAAAGCGCGAACATTAACATACGAATATAATATAATTGTATGTATATTCGCGTAACGAATCGACGATTTCATAGACTGTGTATGCATATCGCGCTCTATTTTTGCTTCTTTTTTTCCCAAGAAACGCAGCGCTTTCTATTATTTTTAAGTTCCACAGAACTATTTATTTGAACAAGAAATGTTAAGTTCGAGTCAAACGAGATTTCTTACGACGATAGACGATAAGCGGTGTCGATAAGGGAGAACGAATGATTTTTGCTTCCGATTGGAATCAAATTGATGATTTTATCGTCGTGTTTCGTCGCGATGCGGTCTATTTTTATACGAACGGGTCTAAAAAAAAAAAAAAAATTGGCTAATCATGATAATTTGCAAGGACCGCGACGATGGTGAATTCTTGTTTACAATGAGGCTAGGATAAAATTTTCGTTGTGCGTTTTATAAATTTCACGCGTCGAGTAGGTATCACAGTAGAGCTTCCCTTGTGCGAATCTCTATTCTTTCATATTATACGCGAAACTCTAGTACAGTACATGTACATATTTGTATTGTATGTAATACATACTGTATGTACGTACATAGATGTTTATCTGCAGGATACGTCATTTGGTACAAAATGAAATACAGAAACACGACGAGTAATAGCAGTTAAATTTGAAAGACGGAATGGGTATAAATTAGTAGTTGTTAGAGGTGACGTTGTTACCAACAGAATCGCGAAAAAGATCAATTTTGTTGTTGACTGATATCCATAATTATACAATTTACGAGATTAGATTTCCCATGTGATGCACGGTTGTGCGTGTTGTTGGACAAACGTTGGCGTAGATGAGGAATCCTCTGGCAATTCTGCGTGGAGAGCGCGTATTTCCAACAATTCAGGAATTTCGGAGCAATTAGCGTTACGGCGGAGCACGTCACACGCAAAACAAGATATCGCAAATAATTAATATTCGGACGTCGTATCGCCAGAAGAGAGTGGTAGATAACGGATGTCCCGATAATACGACATTCATAATCAAAATATTCAAAAATATATTAAGAGTAACAGACACGTCAACAAATGATCTTCTGGTTACTAGCAGACACAGTAACAAATGATCTTCTAATTACTAACCGGATATTCCATTCTGATAATATAACATTCGAATGTCAGGAGAACGAGGTTTCGATCGATCCTGCAAACTATCGATAATCGTTTGCAAGGATGCTACCAGGTTCCAGGTTCAACACGGACGATACGGTCGGTGAAACGAGGCGATACGGTTCGTTCAGCCGGAATATTACAACGTCGTTGCTCGAGTAAAACCATCTGATCATTGTTGCGTAGTTGCAATCAGAAGGCAGAAGTAGAAAGCACGGAAAAGTCACGGTGATTTGCTCGACGTCGCGTCGTTGATGACTCGAACGGTTGTCTCGCGACAGGTAGTCAGTGATACAAACTCTTTTACATGCGGAACCGCGTCCAACTGGCTTTGGTTTCAGTCAAGAAACGTGCAACGACCGACATCTCTACATCTTTGCGAAACAGGCCAGCGGCTTGTCAAATCGGCTAACGAAAATCGCTGTGATAGAAACATTCGGAAGTATAAAAATATTCGCGTTTGATCGAAAGAACACGTGGGATTAATTCGCGAACAAACAAAACACTTTTTTTAATTACTTGTCGACAGATTGATCGATTGATCAGAGTCCCTATCTCTCTCTTTCTCTCTCTCTCTCTTTCTCTCTTGGTTTCTTTCAGCTGGCTCGAGAAAAGCGAAATTTCCCATCGCGTGGCTTTTTTGATAATCAAGCGAAGATCAGAGAGCAATTTGCAGACTTCGTAGATTAGAAGGTCGATTATCGGTGTTGAACATAATCGAATCGCATTGTTTGTCCAGCGGTCACATGACTTTTGTAACAAAGAGAGAGAGAGAGAGAGAGAGAGAGAGCACCAGTCGTTCTCAAGATGCAATGGAACTCTGCACCTTGATCGAATCGAGCGATGCAATCGATTAAAAATAGCAGCGATATAGAATTACCGATCGTCAAGGAAATTCGTGGTCATACGTGCGAGGCGTGATTCAAAAATATGTATCTCGATTCGAAGTGTAACTGTGTTAATATGATGTTGAAAAATTCTTTCCTTCTTATAAATAAAACAAAGTAAGATTCCACACGTGTATTAGTCGTTGAGAAGAGCGTGTAAATTGTCACCGACGAACTGTTTGCGAACATTAGTGAAGATTCTATTATATACGTGCAAACAAATGTGACAACTATTCGCGAACATCAATAGGGGCAAATTTTTAACAGAAAACAACACATTTGTCTATGGCTCCTTGTGACTTTTGCTTCTTCTCAAAATCGAACATGGATCTGACAGAGATTTGAATACGACGAAGCATCTGGAAAGTATTCGTTTGAAAAATGTTATCGCCACTATAGAAGATTCATCGACAGAAGTTTTGAATATTTGAATATTTTAAAGAACCGATGGAGCTCGCTCTTAACGCGACCATAATTCCGAATACTTTTCGGTCACACCTCGGTATGAATCGTTTGACGCAAAAATATTAATTCTTGAAGTAAAGGTTTCCCAGTAATATCGTAACGTTGCGAAGTTTTACGCACTTTACAGCAGTCGTGCGCGAAACAGAACGAAGGTTGAGCTTCCGAAACGTGATGTTAACCTAATTAGACGAGTGATCGCTTCTGCATTGAACAGTTCATACCGTACCGGTGGAAATATCGAAACGGATACGTCTGGGTCGCATGAATCACGAACGAAGGTCCGAAACGACATTGTCCGACAGCGCGGCGAGAACGAGAAGGGGAAGACGCGCGGAGGTTCTCGTAGATCTCGCGGGAGGACATTAGCGGTGGGACGCGTTTCAATCTGTCCTGGTTTGCGTCTTTGATCCGGGGCGGCACTGGTGCGCCGTGCACTCGCAACCGTAACTCACTTGACGAGGTCGCTCGTAAACTCGCGTGGAACTCGTATGCTCGGCCGGCAGCAGACGCGGCAGCCACGGACCGTTCCGGCGACTCGTCATCCGTTTCGTCAGTCGTTTAACACCGCCGTTCGCCGTGTCGAATAAAAATACGCGGATGACAGACCACACATTGCGCGGCAACGTTCTCTGACCGGCCAATTAGCCGCTACGGCCTCGCGAAAATTCCCGTTTAAATAGTTATTCGCGTTTTGCGCGACAACACCTTCGCCACCGCCCACGCCACTTCCGCCGCCACCGGCGGCCATCATTCCGCGTCTTTTTGCCCTGCGTACAACTCGAGTGCCTTCGAGCACTCTTCTCTCAACCCGGGAATGCAGTTGTCGCTGCCGCGATGGAAAATCACCGCTTTTCCTCCCGATTCCTGCCAACACGCCGGAAGGCCGTTGAACTTTCAGGATCAGCGTCGAACTCCTCCTTGTTAATAATCGTGGCAAAAACGTTCGCGATATCTTGTAAATATCTAGTAAAGGCTCGAACATAATATCGTATTAATTCTTATTAACTTTTAAAACACACACAGTCACACGTTACATTTAAATATATATTGTTAATATTAATTTTTTCACAATTGGTCACTCGTGTTTGCATCCTTTTGCTTCGATTATAGTGTGTGTTCTTTCTGGTATTCATTGTTTTATCATGTGTTCTTTATTTTTGGATGATCTGAACGGCGTATTATCGATCTATTATTTCTCACTGATATTCTATAATATAAAACTTTACTCGTCCTTCGATCATTGCACGGAGAACAATTACATTGATCGTACTTGATAACAAAAGGTAACGAAATATAATACGCAGTAATAATCATTAATGTCTACGTGTCGAATACGATAGTAATTAATAAAATTATTGTCCCGTGTAATTAAATTTTGTTCACTAAGAATTTTGGTCTTAATTTTTTAGTCAGGGGTTGTACAACTGTACCAGCTATTTTTTATAGTAACTTGCCGGTAGTAAAAAAAACCGGCAAAAATTTGGTAAAAAAAAGGGAGAAGGTAGAAGTATCAAATACGTAAACAGATACACATATCTAAAATCGTAATAAATTCTGCGACTAAACACTGAGAAATCACATGACGCCGCAGTAGCGTCGAGAAGAAAAGGAAGAAACAAAGAGAACAAAAAGAAAGAGAAAGAAAAAAAGAAATGGAGAACCACCGTGAAACGCACGACCGAAGCACAACGATCAGCCTTTTTTTTTTTTTTCTCGCCCTCGAGAGCGAAGAGAATCGCTTTAACGAGCGAAAGTAATTTTTAAGCGCGTTAAGTGAAACACCCGGTTGTAAAGTTATCGACGTAGAAAATCTCCTGCGAAAATAGTTGGCAAAACGTACGACGTTTATTATTCGCGATAACCCGGATTTATCGGGTGTCCGGAAGTTAATCGTCCGGCCGATCGAAAGGAATTGCTTGACCGTTTCGGACGATAATTGATAATAACCGGTGAAACTTCATTCGATTTGCAGTCGCTCGTTGTTCGATCGGTTCGGCAAAGAGGAATATACGGGCAGCGAACGAGGAACACGCGAACGAGCTTGCCTTGTTCGGCCGCGCGTCTTCTCCGAGCGGATTTCGCGGACGTTGTCCACGGGGGGTTGTTCTATTTTAGCGATCGAGCGCTCCTAACTTTGCGCGGTTGTTTCGAAGATGGGGCAAATGGCGCGCGTCGGATGGCGGCTATCGGCGAGAGAATTCGTCGTTCGGCCGTGATCTAACGAATGATCCACGGTGGGCCTTAATTTCTAGCAATTCAATTTGTATGGTAAAACAGTTCTTAACAAATCAGAAACTTTATCGGTAATATCATCGATCACTTGGTATAATAAAAAAATTAAGAACATTGAAGATTAAAGAATAAAAGAATTAAAGATTAAAGAGCATTACAACTAAAGTTAGTCGAGCAACTACAACTAAAGATAACTTAGAAACCTAACGTTTGCTGTGAAATTTGTTTTAAACCTACTGTTTTGCATGCCACATCGCGTTAAACTATGTTTAAGCTACTTTATCATAAAATTGCTTGTTCTATGATATGTAAGTATCGAGTTACGCTCGTAGTACACATCATAGTTTCAACTTGAGGGGGAAAGTTCATTGAATTTTCAGAGTTTGAAATTTCGATTCTTTAAAATTCAAGATTGACAAATATCAATTTACCGTAACGTTGTCGGTGTCCGACACAACGTAGCGAGTTGCAATAAAAAGGGAAAGCTTGTCTGAAAAAAAGGATGAAGAAAATTGTAAGACAAGAGGTTAAACCTCCCTAATGACACCTTTAATTTCAAAACTTTCCACCTTTATTGATTCCGAATTATCAAATCTTGATTTGGGGCCACTGTGCGGTCCCTCGGGAATCGAACGCGTTTACACGCGCCGCTTTAGACGATTGCGTCGCTATCCAATTTCGGAAATTGCAACCGGCAAGAGACAAATTGAAAACCGATGGCGAGAGTGAGGCATCCGCGCGAGAGCGAACAGAAGAGTCCATCGTCATCGTCGTCGTCGTCGTCGTCGTCATCGTCATCGTTTTACCTTGGCCGGAAAGATTGTAATTTCACGAACCGCTGCTACTTGGTCGGGATAATAACGTTAAACTAAAGTAACCTCCGTCGTAAGTGGATAATTATCCTTTAACAGCCGCTATCGCGGCGTCGTTATTGTCTCGACCGGGGGAAATACGCGTTGCTTCAACGAATGATGAGCCAGGGAAGAAGAGAAAAAAAGAGATTACGCCGGTCTAGTCTATCTAGGCGTTGTACAAAATACGGAATAAACGATCCTTGAAAATCAACGGGTATAGATTAATTATAGCGCGTAGAGAATTACGATTTACTATCGTTTTCGGGTTGGATCGATGTCTGTTTATACAGCTCCCAGCCCCACTCGAATCAGGACGATAATTTCCAACGTTTCAGTAAAATTGAATGATTTGCGATTTAATAATCAATTTCATAATTTACTGTAATCAATTTTGTTAAGTGTTAATGTTAATAAATTGATACGTGCACTAGTGTACATAGTATTGTAAGTACATGTAGACATTAATAGTTTGTGTTTCCAAGATAATGTATATGATATTATTTTTATATATATATGATACTTCAATAATTAACAAAATTTCATTGCATAAGTTTGCACTCGGAGCATTCAGTTTTACTAAAAACATGTAAAATTAAAGAAACTACAAAGTAGTCTTAATTCAGTAGTCAGAAGCTCTAACTAGACTATGGATTTTTATACAATTGTTTTTGTTACTAAATAGAAGCACGAACGTGCGATTGATTGTTAATTGAACGTAAGAATTCTAAAGACAGCGAAGCAACGCACATTCGCGAATCGACTAAATGATGTAACATCGTTACTGTGCAACGTGTATAGATAATTATTATTTTGCTACAAAGTAAAGAAAGATCGAAACTCAAAAAAAAAAAAAAAAAAGATAATTTGTGCTTCTGGTACAAAGGAGACGATGTTCTAACAACTACTTTCGATATATTACGTAGTAGGTACGTGCTACGTCTGATACTTCCAAATTCTTCATAAATGCATAAAAAGTCCGCGGTCTAGCCATGTCACGCATTTGGCCGACCGATCGAGTAATTCGCGTGATTGTGTTTACGCAACTCACGAAACCGACAATCGAGACGACTGTTAATTATCGGGGGGGAAACGAGTATCATTGTGTCGCGGAACGCGGTTTTCGCAAGAACGTGGCATCGCGTCGCAAGACATTAGCCTACGAATTACTACTCGGGATAACGGCAATTTTCTTTCGTGCCAGTTTTAACCGCAGAACGTGTTCGTGGTTGCTTGTTGCGACCCGTGTTGCAGCTGAGAATCTTTCAATATACAGATGTACGTGTATACTTACGAGATATTTACGAGGTTATCCGAGTTGAGACTTCCTTTCGTTTTCTCGATAATTATCGTGCGCGATATTTCGACACGATGATTAATTAATCGCGGCAAAAATCGAGCTACAAATTCTCATCCTTCATCGGTGAACTCAAGTTGGTTTCCGGTTCCGACTGTCGCGATAGTGTCGTCTCTCTTTTAGTTTTTTTCTTTTCTTTCTTTTTCTTAACCCATAACGAGCTTCAAACGCACATTCTAATTATCGTTCGCGTGTTCCTTTTTTTCTTTTCTTTCAGAAAGGGAACCGAGTGTTTCTGGTGTGGTCCGTTCCGGAGCTCCACCGATTCAGGAAACGATCGTCGCGGAAGACGATCCGGAGACGGACGACGCCGGAAGCACCAGCGGCAAGGCAGCTTCTCCCGTGAATCCTCTCCTTCAGGAACGGACCAACTGCGAAGAGCTTAAGCACGTGATGTGTCATCTAGAGACGAAAGATTTGTGGGATAAATTCAACGAACTGGGCACCGAGATGATCATCACGAAAACTGGCAGGTAAGATACTCGTAATTATGCGACTGTTACATCGATGAATTTGGAAAGAGGGCGGAAGAAGAAAGGAACTGAAACTATTTGCACTCTTATTCGATTTCGCTTTAAGCTAATTAAGAATTTAAGGGAATCTATCTACTTAATTTAATTTAATTTAACGCGTATAACCGTTGTACAATGACAACGTAACAAACGCCTGAAACAAACGCACGACAATTGACGACAATTGTGGAAGAAAGAACCACGTGCGTATAAATAACTTAAAAGTAATGAAAAGTAATGACAGACGCGCGTGCAACCGGGATTGATTAAATCGGTGCTTTCCCCCGTTTCACATTCGTCCCTATATTTTTCCTCGGCGCGGAAAAGAAAGTCTTGTAAAAGACCCGAGTAGAAACAGTCGGGACAACGTAGTTTTCGAGAAGGCGAACGAGACAACGTTATCGCGAGGGGGCGAGGACGGGAAGCTGGGAAAGGGAGGCGAACACCAAGAGAGGACGAGAGCGACGCGACGCGGCGGACGCGCACCTAATTGCCCGCCACGACGGCAACATCCGTGCTGCTCCTGCTCGATGTTCGCTGATTCCCGAAGGGGCTCCACTACCCTACTGCGCGTTTACCCGCGCGTTAGTAATTAGATCTGCGCCGCGACGTTGCTCGACGCACCCTTCACCCTCGTCAACTTATCGTCCCCCGCCGGCTCGACCTTACCGCTCACGCCACCCTCCACCGACTTTGCCACCGCCTCTCTGCCTCCGCCTTCGTCTTCGCCGCCGCCGCTTCCGCCTCCGGCCTCCGCCCCTTACCCCATCCCGCAGGGGTTCTTACCCTCTCTCTTGTTTCCCGTTATTTGCAGAAGAGGGCTCAAAGGGCAGAACTCCGGAGACCTTCCCCTCCCTTTCGCCCGCGTTTCTTCGTTCTTTCCTTCTCCGTCCTCGCCTCCCATCCAGAAAATTCTCCCTTCTCGCGCGCTTTCAACTCAACCACCCCTGTCCTCGAGGGGAACGGGTGTTGTTGCTCGCCAAGTGGGCGTGAACGTTCCCTCTCGAAGGAGGGAATTTGCCAAGCTTTTCGTGAAGCTCTAACGACGACGTCCATCCGTCGACGAAAGAATCGTCGTTCGCATGGTTTCGATCGAGACGAAGAGGGGACAGGCGCGGTTGGAGGGGCGGAGAAGCGAAGGAAAAACCCGGTGTCCCAGGATGAGAGGAAGCCCGAGGGGGTTAGACACGTTGAATCCGTGGCGCGGTGGGAGGGGGGGGG